ACAGCGAAACAGTCTGTCTGTGGATGACAATATATATATATATATATATATATATATATATGGAACGAACGACTTTACTGGAATTTAAAATAATCATACCAATCTAGCAGAAAATAAGGACGGTGAATGGTTAATGAAGGGACGAATCACTACTACTGTAAGGGTCATATGACCTTGTCTGTATAAGCGCCAAATTAAAAATCAGCAACAGGAAGCAATGATGTTCCTGCATCAAACGCCCTTTTCAGTGGTATCAAGTTACGGAGGAATGTGTCCAGCAACCTCAAGATAAACTATTATTACCTACAAAAGCTAGCCGAGGACTGAAAAGGACTTCAACAAAGCCCGTTGGCAAGATAAGGTAACGCCTTTTACCTAAAGGTTGCAGACACTATGCGTCTGAGGACTTAGCAGTCCTCAAACGCAGATTGTCTGCAACCATTTATTTTTTTCTATTTGTATATTAAATATATATTAATTAAGGCAGATTGTCGCGTTTCTTTTTCATCAAAAGTTGCCACCCAGTTCATTTAAGCACACGAGTACTTTGCACTTGCCCTCCATAAACTTGTCGTTGAATAATGACGGGATATCCTGGATATCGTCACCACAACATTTTTGTTTAGCGATCTTCTTATGTATATACGAAGATCATACCCGATGTTGCAAATAGTCTAAACCATTTTAATGGAATCAAAATTTGAATCTATTCCTTTACCGCCTTTTTATCAAAAACTCGAGGTCTAGATTGGACATGAAATGCCAATAGACGTTGAGAGCATGGGACGTCATTGAGAGCGTGAAACTGTTTATCGCTGCTACCTGGGTCTTGTAAAGTATTGAATATTAAAAGACTACCCCGCTTTGAGCATTTAGAAAAAGGACAATGGAGAAAACAGTTGCATCTTTTGAAAGTGTGCTCATAAACATTTTTTAAGCACGGGAACAGATGTTTACTAATGATCTGAGAAAGTCCCTAGATAGGCCGTTAATAAAAAGCAGAAAAAAAAAACTTAAGAGAGATCCCTGGGGAGACACTGGCATTGATTTCCTGAACTTCAAAAACTCGCCATTGGCAACAGATTTTATGGAACTACTTGAGAGTGAGATCTTAATGATTGTATGTACTCGTCTAAAAATGCCATAGTTGGAGAGTTCGTGTAAAAGACGCTATGTCCCTCCTTTGAAATATCTACGGAAATCACTCTAATGACGAAGCTACCACCGAGCGCCTCACCAATTATGGGTGATGACAGGTATGGCATCAACAACAAAGCTATGGATACGAAGCCTGTTTGTCACACAGTTGTTTGTTTCTGATACAGTAATCCACTATCAAATTATTGATAATAGACTCAGTTTGCCAGTGAAAACCAAAGAGATTGCTGTGGCGATATTAAAATAGAGATGAACACTCACCAGAATTCTCGAAACAGAACAAACGGCTGACAACATACACAGACTTAGGAAATACATGTAGTTCTGTTAAACAATTTTGCCAAGATCTAAGTTAGGTACCTCCATGAAAATCAATAAAAAGAGTATAGCATAGCAAGAACGGCCTTTAATTTGATGATTTTTTTTATCTGCTTAAGTATATATATATCATTATTAATAAGAAATACCAAAGCATTTTTGATTATTTCTTAATTTTTTTACTCATTCTTAGCATGTCCAAAATTTTAGTTAAAAATCTTTATTTTTTTTTGTCAGCGAAATTGCAAAAAATATTTCGATATCAGCCACTTTTTAAAAAAAATAACTTAAAATCCTAGTTTAATATTCTTATACATTTTTCAAAATTTATTTGACTAAAATTAGCAATTTTAAAGATTATTTAATATATTTTGAAAAAAACTTTTGCTTACTTTCTTCGAAGAAAAATGTTTAAAATAAAAAGGCGATCGTAACATCGTTGGCTGTTGACAAGTGATAAATAATTGCTGTCATCACATATCGACAGCTAACGTGAGATTCGAGTTATCATACGGAAGGACATAATTGACGTAACGTTTTTTTTTACATGAACCAGCTGTATGTAGTACCTCGTAATTATTAAAGTAAAAAAAAACCTCAGCATTCCAATTTCTTTTAATTTGTTTTTTTATTACTGTAGCTTACATCATAAGTTTGTCGATGCTATCTGTAGAAATTATAAATACTACAAATAAATTAAAATACAAGTACTGTACAGCTTTTTGAGGACAACTATAGGCCCCTAAATCAATACAGATCTGCTATTTCTATCCCAAGTAAAAATCATCACAAACATATCAAAAGTTATTTTGTTACACTACAGCCAATTTGAACTGAAAAAAAATTGAAAAATGACTTTTGTCATCATCTGAACAAAATATCAAAGAAACTTCTGATCTGCACTCCATAAAACTAGGTATTTCCTGAAAGCAAAGAAGGCTCTTTCATTTCTAAGTGAAATTGGTTGGTGTAAATGATTATAAAAAATTTTTCTAATAAAATATGAAAAAATAGTTAAAATTGCTATTCCTGAACACTGGAAACCAGGATTTTTTTAGATGTTTTTTTTTTTTATTTTTATTCTTTTTTTTTTAAATCAGCGATAAGGAAAACAGTGTTGAAATTAAGCCAAAATTGACTTTGACATTGCTGGGTCAAAGGCCAGCCAGCCGACAATACCAAGCTGTCATCACATTGTAAAAAATCCCATTTTTTTTAAATCTATGTTTAGCTTGAACAGTGGCTTGATGTATTTTTTTGTTTTTTAACAACTTTTGAGCAGAGTGATGACACCAACACTTAAGGATAGAACCGAAAACAGTTTGTTTGAAATTCACATAAAATTGAAATAAAGACAACTCACTGAAAACTGAAAACTGTAAAACAACTTAAAAAAATTGAAATTGCAATGAAATATGTAAATAAAATAAATGGTACTTTTAAAAATGTATTAATGTTGATGGTGAAAATGGCTTAGGATGATGTTCAAATTTTTTTAATGAGTATGTAATCGACGTTCAGCGGAGAACGCTTTCATTCAAGTCACGTGACGTTTTATTGTTTGTGACCTTCCGTACTTTTTATTTACAACCATTTTAACGATTTTTATGAACACAAAATTACATTTCATAATTACTGCGGATCTTCTGATTGGTCAAAACGATAGTTTGTAAAAAAAGATCTATCTCATAAGGACACTTAGGAAACCCGATGCGGCTTTTAACTAATTTTATATTTTAACAACTTAAATGTAAAAATCTATTATAATTAAAGAAATACAAATAATTGTATTAAAAATTCAATTTTCATTGAAAAATCTTTTTGCTTTCAGAGAATATTGTCCATATTCATAAAAACAAATAAAAACAAATAAAAGTATTTGAAATTAAATAATATCTTTGTTTTATTGAGTTTTGTGTGTTACAATTCAGAGCTGATTTTCAGGTAGGGGGTTCAATTAAAAACAAAAAAAAAACACGATTTGCATTCTTCAAAGCCTTGTGCTTTTAACTATTGTAATCACTAAACCCGGTGCGATCGAATTTCTAGCGTTTTCATAAAATTAGTTATGGGGGTGTTAATAAATTAAAAAAAAAATACTTCTGCCATGACTTTAATAAAAAAAATATTTATAATAATTTCGATCATCTGTGAATAGTTTCTGAAATTTTCATTGACATCCGACAATTATTTTTATTTTTGCAAGATTTTCCAAATTAATGTTTTTTTAATCAAAATTTTAGAAGGAATTTTTTTTTTAAATAAATAAAAAAACTTTGGTCTTTCTTCTTTATAAGCATTTAGACGATAAAATTTTGTTTTCGTAAAGTTTGGCGACTTTTTCATCAGACTATACTCTTTTTTTAGCGATTTCGTAGTGGTACCGAAAAGTTAATTCAGGGCTAAGATTTTTAAGTACAAGAACATGCTTTTTATGCTTTCATAAAGTCACGGTCTTTGATATGCCTGGAACCTTCCTTAGACAAGCTTTTTAGGTTACAAAGCGTATTTTCCGGAAGAGGAGAGAAGTTAGTTAAAGGATGGATTTGTGCCCTCTAGTATTGACTTTGAGGCAAAAATGCTTCACCTGCTCGTCTTCCAGGCCTGTCATTTTTATATCCAAAAGTCGAAATCGTTCTTCAAATAAAGAATGCCCAGCATGACTAAAATATGGCCTAAGAAAGAATGCTAGGGTCTAGAAACTTTGTGCACTGACCTTAGCGAAACTCAGTGGAAGGGAAGAAATGGGGGAATTCAACTGTAATTTTGTGTCGAAATATATTATTTCGTCTTCATAGAAAATTTATTGAAATGTGTTCCAGTCGATCCCATCTAATTGAAGGGAGAAAAGAGAATTAAAATGCTAAAACAGTTAGACAAAGACGGAAGTAGTAGTAATTTTTTTTCTTCCTTCGTTAAAACCGTGCTTCCTGTTTCAAAGCTGACTGGACGTTACCGAAACCGCTACCTAATTCTTTATTTTTTTATTGTTACTTCTACAAGGAGAATTACTTGTAGGCAACATATAGTGTTTTTTGTTGCAATTTGACACAAATGATTGCCACTGCGAGATTACGCCCGTAACAAGTAAGAATTCGTTATCATTTCTTTCTTTCTTCGCCGAGTTTCGCTTCAAATACTTGCCATTATAGATTTTCTACCATCCTTTTCCCTAAACAGTTTTCCCTCCATTTAAATCTAGGTCAAAAGAAAGGTCAGCTGCAAAACTCTGAGTATCTTGATTTTTTGGAGATGACCCCATGAACTTTTTTTCTTAAATGCGTAAATATTTACTGATTGTTGATTGATTCATTTATCAAATCTTCGCAGTTTATTTATATAGATTGTAAGAATTTCTTGGCCATAATATTGATTTACTGATATAACTCCTCTTAATTAACCCATAACTGGGGTGAGAAGAGGTGGGTTCATACCTTTCCCTATGGTATGTGTGGGTAAGGGAATATAACGAACCGATTTCCAATTTAGAGCGGTTATCGATTACGCCACACGTACATTTAAACTTACAGCACATAATATTCCCAAGCGGTTACCCATCTAGATACTGACTAGGTTCGACGTTGCTTAATTTTGGTGATCTTACGAGAACCGGATTTTTACTGTGATATGGCCGTAAGCCAGATCGTTAGTAGCATTCAAAAAGAGGGTAGGATGAAGGAGGAAGCATTAGCGACGATATTAATTTATATAAATAAGAGCCAGATCAGACGAAAATATAGTACCTTTCCCGTATTTTGGATGGAGCTGCACAGTCTTAACTTTCAACTGTTGATAGAGTTCATAAGCGTCGAAAGCGGATTTGTGGGTAGTTAATTATTTTCCATTCTACAGGCCCTTTCATACAGGCTTTGCAATCCTCTCGCTACACTAGCTAATGTTCTGCTGAGATACATTCCTTAGTTACACCAATTGTAAGCCTCACACCCCAGAGCCGACATGCCATATACACTGGGTTGAACTATCCTCATTGCTTTCGTATTACAGACTCCCAAGAAGATGCTTTTCCTACCTCTACAATCTTAACCTCTTCAAGTCTAGGGTTGCCAGCAATCTTTTTCACATCGCCTCATGAACTTCATTTCTTGCCTCTTACTTTTACGGCTCATAAAACAAACTCATTTAGTAACCCACCAATTTGAGTGGCTTTTGGGCCTTGTAAAGAATGAAAGTATATGTTAGTATAAAAATAAATAAATGATGCTATTATAAAAAAAATAAATAAATAAATAAAATAAATAAAAATAAATAAATGATGCTATTATTTTATATAAGTACGATATCTTGATAAAAATTTCTGGAAACTGTCCCATTAACCTGTTTAATTTGAAAATTGAGAAAGAAAATAAGGCGTAAAAACTAATAGCAGAATCTTATTTAAATAGAACCCACATCTTTGCCACAAGTGTCAGTACATGACGGCAGCGGAAAAAAATGAAATCTATGTTTCTATTTTGGTCTACCTTGGCTAATTACAATGGTACTTCATTCTGACAATTTTCAGCGTCACCTAATTAAATTATTTCAGTAAAGAAAAACTAGCCTCGGGCGGGTCTTGTTGAAACGGTAGAATTATTATCAAGGAATATTCTAATGATATCGCGCTAGAAAAAATATTCTGTGCATTTTCTTCTATGAGTTTTGTCCCTTCAGGACGTGGGCGATCATGGAAGTCTACAACATGCTATCCTTTGTAGCTCTAAGCAAAATTTGCCTTTTCGCCGTCTCTACTAATCCCTGTTCCGCTAATCATTTACACAAGCTCGTTAGCTGATTAAAAGCTGCGTTCTTCTTTCCTTTTTAGCTTTGAAAAAGAATTTCAATGTGGGTACTTTATTTAATGTAGGTGGAAAGATTATTTCCGTCCCGGCTGCAAATATTTATTTTATTCGCAGTGTCCCTTGAAGACGTGGGCGATCACAGCTCTCCACGACTTCCTAACATTTTTAGTTTTAACATTATTCTGTTACTGTCTATTTGAATTTCTGTTCTACCTACCATTTACTCAAGCACTTTATGTAGGTGGTGTGGCCTTGTTAGGGCCAGAAATAAAGATACAAAAAGAGAATTAACAGAAACAGTAATAAAAACATATACAAACAAGAGTGTCAGAGCAAGAATGTTCGGTCCCACAGTCAGAACTAAATGCTGGAAACTTCCCTCTCCAAAAGGCAGTGCCTGCTCCTATATTTTACCTATGATAGTCCATGCGTGCGTGGGTAAATTATCATAAGAGTAGGTTACTCGATATTTCCTTCTGTTCCGCTTGCTTTCAGTATGCATTGTGATTGTCAAATTCTCCACGCCCTCTTTCCTCATTATGAACCCAAGACGTTTCAATTGTCTCTTTCTGATTCCAATTATAAGCGTCCTTTTTGTTTACATTTTACTTAAAACTTCCTCGTTACTCACATGTTCAGTCGATGATAGTCTCGGTATCTCACTGTAGAACACAATTTCTCTTGCCTCAGATCTCTACTTTATCCAGCTGCTGACGAATGTATCGGAAAATAAGCTCTATCAAGCAATCAGCCTAATGTACCACATAACAAAAGTTATCCTCCGAATTCTGACGAATAGCGCGAGAAGTGGAATCACACCGGAAATAAGACAAGAAGAGTACAGTTTCGTTAAAGACACTGGAACAAGGAATGCAATATTTATTCTCAGAATGATATCGGAAAGAGCAGTGCACATGTAGACGTATGAATAACTATGTTTTACAGATTTGTGGGTGAAAAAGTTGTTTTTGTTATGCACGTCGGCGGTCACCAAAATGTTGTGTGGGTTCACTTACATCATACCAGCAGAAATTGGCTTCATGGAGATAAAAGCATATATGACAGAAAAAAGTACCCAAATAATAAAAAAACCATGGTAAATTGTATGTTAACTTCATACAATTTACTTATAATTTTTATGTGTGTATTGGCGTGTGTATTTTGTAGTTTAAAATTCTTTTATGGTACATGCGGTAAAAGGGAGAATTTACTCCGTAGTATTACAAGCCATATCACAGTGAGAATTTGGACACGTGTTTCCCTTACCAATGTTCGTAGCGAAGAGATTGAATTAACATCTTTTGGCGGGATGTCCGTATTTCCGGCAGGAACATTTTTTGTTGTATGCTGGGAGTATTTTTATTTAATTTCTACAACTTTTTTTATATTATTGTTTTATTTTATTTTATTTATAATTTTCATTAATATTATTATTTCATAATTTAATTTTATTTATTTATTATAATAATACTATTCCTACAGACTATATAACAATTTTTTTTTATATATATATTACGACACAACTGCTAGGTAAACTTGATTTACTTGGGAAATATACTATGGTAAACCAGGACTTATAATACGAGTAGACCGCTTACCAACGGATAGATAGTGAATTCAGTCAATTCTGTGCATAATAAAATGAAAGATGCATAATCCGCCAGCCGTGTTAAGATACCGGGCATAAATCCCTTAATTCGACTACAAATTTAGTAATACAATTTCATAGTTGCGACTATGTTTGGTGTATATTTTTAGGTGAAAAACACCAATTTATAGTCCTCACCTACGTTTTGAGTTATTGTAAAGTTCAACTTGCTGAAGGGATACAATTGTTCATATAATCTAGTGTTGTCATTGCTAACAAACAGAACCAGCACATCACTTTTAAGCTGAGGTTAATTGCTGAAGACATTCGGAAACATTTGCCGTCTTCTATAAAATATTCGGTTATTTTTAAAGCTTTTTTTTTTTTCTTAGATGCGTTTTGACAGCTGCTTTCTTCAGGAGTATCTCACATTTGGCGATCTTAAAATACATCTCTTATTTCTGGATACATATCTATTCCTTGTGACTTGTTACTGTTAAAGGGCATGCGAATCAATTTCACTGTTTTATTTAAGATTTTGCAGTAGATACAAATTGAAATCACTTCGGGAAGTAATCAAATGTTGCGAGCAATACTTCTAAATTGACCAAAAAACAGTGGCAACAGTATTTTGCACATGTAAACGATGGATGTAAGTAAATAGAAAACAATTTCAAAAGGCGATATTTCATGTTTTTCTTCTTCCTTCTCCTCTACTTCTTCTTCTTTTTCGCTTTCTTCTTCTTCTTCTTCTTCTTCTTTATCCTCTTCTTCTTCTTTTTCTCTTTATTCTTCTTCTTCTTCTTCCTCGTCTTCCTCTTTTTCTTCCTTCTTTTCTTCTTCTTCCCCTCCTTCTTCCTTCTCCTCTTCTTCTTTTTCTCTTTCCTTATCTTCCTCTTCTTCTTCCTTCTCCTCTTCTTCTTCTTCCCCTTCTTCCTTTTCCTCTTCTTTTCCTCGTCTTCCTCTTCTTCTTCTTCTTCTTCGTCTTCCTTTTCTTCTTCTCCTTCTTCTTCCTTCTCCTCTTCTTCTTTTTCTTCCCCTTCTGCTTCCTTCTCTTCTTCTTCTTCTTCTTCTTCTTCTTCTTCTTCTTCTTCTTCTTCTTCTTCTTCTTCTTCTTCTTCTTCTTTCGCCCTTAGCCACTGAAGGAGACGTTGGGACACCAAAGTGCTGAGCTATCTACCATTCTCTCACCATCTGTTGCGGTCGTGTGCCAGAGCCTTGGTCTTCGCAAATGCTTTCATGGTGTGCTCATCATGTGGCATATCTTGGGCGGTTTAACCTGGTGAGGCTCACCCATCTTTAGGGATGGATATTTTTATATTACTGAGTAAAAGAAGAGAAAATATATTTGTTTGAATGTAAAAGAAAGAAAACATTAAGATTTAGGAATTGTGTGGATGATACACCTGTACGTGTGTGTGTGTGTGTCTGTGTGTGTTGCGTTTTCATAGGTGCTTGACAGCTCTCTCTAACGGTTTCTTGTCAAAACTAGTGCAGCTATGTGGAAATAACCCACAAAGGTAATATAATTAGCTATTACAAAAGCACGATGCCATAACCTATGCTTCAACCACCTCGACACTCTTTACTGAAAATAAGAACCAAACAAAAGACAAGAATTGTTTTTTGTTCTCGCTCTGTGTCAGTTCCTTTGAGTTGAGTTGTATCATATATCGAAAATCGAAACTCGAAAATTAATTATGTGTTTAAATTCAACAAAATGGCGGAGGATAAGAAATCTACATATTCATATTTTATAACGGAGATATATAACAAAATATAAAGAAATCTTTAAAATTGAACATCTTTATTTCGGCTACAGCTTTTAAAATCATATTTAGCCTCTCTCAACACTTTTTTTTTGTAAATAGTCTGTCATTTTAATCACTCTATTGTAAACATTTTGTTAAGTGCAGTGAAGAAAAAATAAGAATAAAAAGGAAAGTTCTAAAAAGAGAAAGACCAAACAAATAAAATATAATAAAGAAGTTAAAAATGGAGGGAGAGAAAGAAAAGTAAGTCGTAAGACGAGCCAATATAATAAATCGTTTTTATTTTATTAATGTATATATATTTATTGGTTTGTTTTCTTTTCTTCTTCCAAAAAATACCCTGTCTCGGCCGCATGTAGGAAGATCAGTACAACCAAGCAGACCCGATCTATAACATCGAATAGCCCAAGTGAAGCTTTGATTAGTTGCCGTTTTCGGGGGGAACTTATATAATGCACGTCCAAAAGCTAGTAGCAAA